CAATTCTCCATTTGTGTATAGAGCTTCTGCTTTACTTAAAATTACAATTTTTAAAATACCAAGCAGAATATATCCTATAGAAATAAAAATACCAGTACATAAGGATCTATGTAAATGGATAATTCTCACAGTATTATTTATAGGTGTCAAACCTTGGAACGTTCATCAATGGAGAAATGACTGGATCAATTATGGTATATTCATGCTCTGAAATATTTTGCAGCTATTTAAAATGTGTTTGCTCTCTACCTACTGATCTAGAAAAGTGATAATGATGTATTTAGTAAGAACAAATACATGTCCATTTTTGTTTTTAAAAAAAAGAACCCAAATGCTACATTTGCAGAGATGATTTATACAATTGCAGAGGGTAAAAAAAACGTGTGATGAGATTGACCCAAGCCTGTTAACACTCATTACATTGAACGGCAAGATTGGAGGAAAAGAAAGGGAGCCAAGAGGCGAAGATACATGGAATAACATGAAATAAAAATGCAATATGAAAATTTTATTTAAAATATTACTAAAAGTATATGCAAACCTAAACAGGTATATATGGACAAGATCTAGAAAATCAGATGTTCTAATTTGCTTAGATGATGGAATTGTAGACAATTCTTTTCCTTAAATATCTATTGTACTTTTAATATAGATTTTGCATCAATTAATTTTATTTAAAAATATCATTCACATTCTTCTGCATGTTAAATTGGGCCTCCAGTTTATAATGTTTCAATGACCCAGGACAATTGAGGCGCATCCGGAAGTAAGTGGTTTCACCCTTTGCAGTGTAGAGAAACACAGAGCTAGGATCAAAGGATTGCTCTTGTCCCTGCTTTCTCCCAGTTAATGAAACGACTGTACAACAAAAGAGGCAAACATCTCAGGGACCCACTGGGTCGAGCAGACTGCAGCACAATAAACAGAGTGACTTAGACATCCACCCAATGCGGCCTTATTTTTTTTAGGTGTCAAGGAGGGAAAAAACCTCTTGATTTCAGGCTCAATACAGTATAGATTCCATATTATTTATATATACAGTCATGCACTGCATAAGGGCATTTTGGTTAAAGACCAACAGTAGCTCCATAAGAATACAATGGAGCTGAAAAATTCTTACCACCTAGTGACGTCATAGCCATCATAACATCTTAGCGCAATTATTTTTTATAAATTTAAAAGACTATATTTATAGTCTTTACACTCTATAAGTCTATAAAGTCTACAGCAGTGCTCAGTAATGTCTGAGGCCTTCACACTCACTCACCCCTCACTGACTCACCCAAAGCAGCTTCCAGGCCTGCAAGCTCCATGCATGGTAAGTGCACTATACAGGTGTTCCATTTTTTATCTTTTATACTGTATTTTTTCTGTACTTTTTCTATGTTTAGATACACAAATACCATCATGTCACAACTGCTTACAGCATAGTAACATGCCATACAGGTTTGCAGCCTAGGAGCCAAAAGCTATACCATCTAGGTTTGCATAAGCACACGCTATGGTGCTAGCACATGGTGGAATCACCTAACAACCCATTTCTCAGAACATATCCCAGTCATTAAGCAACACATGATGGTATACACCCACATGTATATATAAATATAACATATAACATGTGTGTATATATATATGTCTGTGTATGGGTATATATGTTAGAAATGTTACATATTCCATAAACACGTAGAGCCTCCATCTCAAAGGGCTCTTGAGTCTGCAAAGCAATTTTACATGTATTTATTATCTGATTTTCTTAACAATACAGTGGAATAGGTAAGGCAGGTATCATAATCCCTGTTTAACAGATGAGGAAGCAGATGAGAAGTACTTGCTAACATCGTACAGAGAGCAGAGTCAAGATATGAATACAGTTTCTGATGTTATTCAGAAATAATCACAGANTTGAGGCGCATCCGGAAGTAAGTGGTTTCACCCTTTGCAGTGTAGAGAAACACAGAGCTAGGATCAAAGGATTGCTCTTGTCCCTGCTTTCTCCCAGTTAATGAAACGACTGTACAACAAAAGAGGCAAACATCTCAGGGACCCACTGGGTCGAGCAGACTTCAGCACAATAAACAGAGTGACTCAGACATCCACCCAATGAGGCCTTATTTTTTTAGGTGTCAAGGAGGGAAAAAACCTCTTGATTTCAGGCTCAATACAGTATAGATTCCATATTATTTATATATACAGTCATGCACTGCATAAGGGCATTTTGGTTAAAGACCAACAATAGCTCCATAAGAATACAATGGAGCTGAAAAATTCTTACCACCTAGTGATGTCATAGCCATCATAACATCTTAGCGCAATTATTTTTTATAAATTTAAAAGACTATATTTATAGTCTTTACAGTCTATAAGTCTATAAAGTCTATAGCAGTGCTCAGTAATGTCTGAGGCCTTCACACTCACTCACCCCTCACTGACTCACCCAAAGCAGCTTCCAGGCCTGCAAGCTCCATGCATGGTAAGTGCACTATACAGGTGTTCCATTTTTTATCTTTTATACTGTATTTTTTCTGTACTTTTTCTATGTTTAGATACACAAATACCATCATGTCACAACTGTTGTATTTTTACTGTACTTTTTCTATGTTTAGATACACAAATACCATCATGTCACAACTGCTTACAGCATAGTAACATGCCATACAGGTTTGCAGCCTAGGAGCCAAAGGCTATACCATCTAGGTTTGCATAAGCACACGCTATGGTGCTAGCACATGGTGGAATCACCTAACAACCCATTTCTCAGAACATATCCCAGTCATTAAGCAACACATGATGGTATACACCCACATGTATATATAAATATAACATATAACATGTGTGTATATATATATGTCTGTGTATGGGTATGTATGTTAGAAATGTTACATATTCCATAAACACGTAGAGCCTCCATCTCAAAGGGCTCTTGAGTCTGCAAAGCAATTTTTTTTTTTTCCTTTTTGTCTTTTTTCGTGTCTGGCAACGGATCGCAACCCTCAGTGTCGCGCCTGTACCGGACCGGGACCAGCAAAGGGATCGCAGCCCTCAGTGTTGCACCCGCACCTCGCTCAGCCAGTGAGCGGGAACCGGTCTGTATGTGGGATCCGAACCCTCAGCGGGAGCGCTGCCGTGCTCTCAAGCGGCGCACTGTAGCAGTGCGCCACTGGGCCGGCCCTGCAAAGCAATTTTACATGTATTTATTTTCTGATTTTCTTAACAATACAGTGGGATAGGTAAGGCAGGTATCATAATCCCTGTTTAACAGATGAGGAAGCAGATGAGAAGTACTTGCTAACATCATACAGAGAGCAGAGTCAAGATATGAATACAGTTTCTGATGTTATTCAGAAATAATCACAGAAATGGGTGGTTTCTCAGTGTACAAATCACCATGTTTCACAAATAAATATTTTAGATAAAATTTGATTCTTGATTGTTGTACCTCTCTATCTTTCTAATTAATGAAGAAAATTTTATGAAAGCAGCAGAGATTTCAAATAGTTTTTCTACCTTTTTAGTTTCTTGCTTTTAGTTGATAACCTCAGGGAGAGATATTGTTTCACTGGTGACATTGCTATCCAGATTTCTGTTATTACACAGATAGTTGATCACATTCTCAAGCTCATGAACTAGAAGTATTCCAACAAGTAATACATTTTACATGCTAGTCTTAGCAATGACATGAAATGAAATAACATGGAGCCTGTCTTTGAAAAAGTGATTCTGAAAATCATAGCTTAAGCATCCTAGCTTCTAATAAATCAAAAAATATATCTAAACCATGCAAAAGTGAAAGCATACTGTTAAATGTCCAAGAGAGTTGAATTAGGAAGATAAGTTCCTAATGAAACTAATTTCTAATTCTTCATTTTGCAAATTAACAGAAAAGACTCAAAGGAGCTCATTCATACCACGAGATTACTTTTTTCTTTATATTGTGATAACTGGTATTTCTAATCTAACTCATACTATTAGGAGATATATTTAAAGTAGTTCAAAAGCTAACGACATACCAACAAACAAAACTGTACCTAAAATATCATAATTTGTGATATTAGAAAGAAGGTCCTTTGATATGAATGAATGTTAGCCAACACAACACGACAAAAAGCTGTACATAGAAAAAATAAAATCTGTGTGTGATCGGTAGCAAAGGTTTAACACAGATAATAAAGAAAATAATGTGCAATCATGAAAATACAGCCCATACAAGAGTGTTGCCTTCACTCTCAATGATGAAAATAGGAATACCTTAATTTTTCTTGGTCTTTCCGCTGTTTTTCCATATGTCTAAGAGTTTCCAGTCTAGATTCAGGAGTAAACAAACAGGGCTTATTCCAGAATTCCAGGTCATCTTCACTTTCATCTATTTTATTTTTGTTGTGCTCCTCTTGTATTTCTGGTGCCTGGAAGTGGTGTTTGCTTTCTAAAGATGGGCTGGGGAAAACAAACAGACACAGAGTACATAAAGACCAGGAACAGACGTATGCGTTTCATCCTTAATGCTGCTCCTTAAATATCTCATACGCTTTTCTTATGTTACCTTCTTACCCTTGAATGACAAACTGTCTCTGATGTTGGAGGAAGTTACTGCCATAGCACTGGGGCAGGCCCTCATCCTGTTCCACCAGGGGTATTGCAATAATCAGAGTCAAGGGTTCTCAGATATGGTTGATATGAATCACCTGGGGAGCTTTATAAAAGTACACAGTTCTGGGCTCTCATCAGAGAATCTACTCATTAGGTCTGGGGTAGGGCCTGTAAGTCTGTGTTTTACAGTATTTTGCAGGAGGTTCTGCTGATCAGACAAGCATGGGGACCACCGGGCCTTACCAATCACCCCACCTCCAGTCTTGAACCATCAGTTCCACCCTCCACGCTGCTCCCAGGAGGACCTTACTAGCAGGCAAATTTGATCCTATCATTTCCAGGTTCATTAATGATTCTCTATCTCCAAATTTCTCTTGCAGGACATACGAGACCTTCCATGGTATGGCCTCTGCCTACTTTATTTTTCATGGGATAACTTCTGATTATGTTTATACAGTAACAGTTCTCTGTTCTCGCTTCTGTTCATGTTTTGTGGACTGTCAGAGAATTAAGTGATGTCTTTATATGTCATAAAATGGGTATTATGTAAGATATTCAACATTCTTTCCACAGGGATTCAAGAAATATTCATTGAACATCTTCTGAGTGTCAGTCGCTGGGGACAACCCTACTTTCCACAACACTACTTTCAGCAGATTCTACACTAGTGGAGACAAAATGACATCATTTAAACATTATGCATAGTCATAAACATTGAGTATAGTCTCTCTCCTTTCACCTCTCCCTAGAATGACATTTAAAAAATTACATAAAGCCTTTAGGACCAAGTATAGCAAATAGTAAGTACTCAGTAAATATTAGATTTTGGTGGTGTTGTCTTACTGAAATGAGGTGACACAAAAGGCTTCAAATTTAGTTGATCTTCAAATAAGTTGTTCTTTCGAAGGGATGGACCAAAAACACTAGAACATGAATTTTAAGTAGTATAAATAGAACAAAGAGCAAAATTCTGCTTAGATTCTTTACATATTATAAAATATAACTAGATATTTTAATAAACAAAGTAATATAAAGTACTGAAAATAAATGCTTTGCCATACAGTTATATTTCCTAATGGTACTGATAAAACAATTTATGAAGTGGATCTATAATATTCCATATTATTGTAGCTAATTGCTACTGATATAGTTGGTTCTATTCTCATTTAGATGATGTTTCTTCCCAGAAAGTGATTAATTGGTTCACTTTTACCTTTTGTGATCTAAAATAATAATGAAAACTCACAAAAATAACTGCACTTAAAAACTGTTAGAAATATCAGCTAAATAACATATGTCTCCAAAGGCAAAATGCATATAAATATATGTAGCTGCGTTGATGAAATAGACTGAGCTCATTAGGATATGAACAAAAAACTTTCTCTTCAACCACTTCCTTTAAACCTGCTCCCTTGGAACTCTCTTCCCACCCATAAGCACCCTATGGTTACTTTAGACAGAAATATCAGCTAAATAACATGTCTCCAAAGGCAAAATGCATATAAATATATGTAGCTGTGTTGATGAAATAGACTGAGCTCATTAGGATATGAACAAAAAACTTTCTCTTCAACCACTGCCTTTAAACCTGCTCCCTTGGAACTCTCTTCCCACCCATAAGCACCCTATGGTTACTTTAGAGAACAGTCTCATCTCAGCTAACACTCTCCTTATTAAAAGGTCAACAGTTTAAATAAAACTTACTCTCTCTCCTCACCCAGCTCAAGATTGGGCTGTGCACAGGGAGAGGTACACCGTCTACTCCTACCCATCATTGGTTAATCTGTTCCTTGCACATCTCCCTGGGCCTCTTCAGGCTCCCCCTGACTTCAGAATTCTGAGTAGATGGGGAGAAGAAGGTAAACATCTCTTATATGGCTGCTGCTGTTGTACCCTGGCTGTTGCTACCCTGTCTGGGGCTGATGCCCAGATACTGGCTTTCTTTTCTTGTGCACACCTTGGTCGTTCTTGGAGACATTGTAAGACCCCTCAAAGTGCATTGTTCCCATTCAACGTGGTCAATATACTTGTCCTTTTTTGACAATTCCTCAGCTTCTGCCACCAATCATCCACCCCACTCTCTCACTGCCACCTCCTCCTGGGTTGTATCCCTTCAAGACAGCTTAAGCCTAGCTCTTCCACCATACGTACTTGGCCTATGGGATATTCACAAATCGTTGCCATGCAAAGTACTTGAACTATAAGCTTTTTCCATTAATGCCCCCTTTCCTGATTCTTCTGCTCCACGCTGCTCCAAGCCACTTCCCATCTTTTCAGTTTTCCAGGTTGGAAGCAGGCTCTACCTAATCAAGAGGTGAGATGTTCACCTCCCCTTCTTAATAGCCCCCAATCTCTGTGGTATTTCTTCTTACAGCCTTGAAAGGGGAGTAGCACTCTACTCCTCCCGAATTAAGTCACTGATTCACTATCTCAATGACTCTCTTCCAGAATATCTGGGTTTCTGTTCACATAGGCTCAATGGGGTAATAGCAGTGACAGCTGAAGGACCAGCCAGTCCTTCAGCAAGTAGGGGAAGCAAGTAGGTACCTGCAAGAAACCCAACTGTAAGCTTCTATTAAAATACAAGAAATAGATTATTTTAAACTTTTATGAACTTTTATAAACCAAAAATAGCAAATGATTTCAAATACATTTAATGTGCCTATTGTAAACTTAATGCAAAACACCAGGAAAAATACAATGAGAAAAAAAAATACTACCGTATAAACTCATGAATGTAAGTTTGACTATTATAAATTAAATGTTAGCAAAATTAGGCAGCTATAATTAACATTAACTTAACTGCATGCTATCAAATGGCCAGAAGAGAGATCGAACATCCTCAACACAAAGAAATGGTTACATTTTGTAATGATGAATATGCTAATTATCCTGATTTGATCATCATGCATTGTATACAGGTATTGATATTCAACTCTGTACCTTATCAATATGTACACTCAATTACGTTTAATTATAAATAAATAAATAAATAAATATGGAATAAATCTAATAAAAGATGTTGTAAGATCTTTATAGGGAAAATTAAAAAGCTTATTGAAGGACTCAGAGGAAGATCCAAATCAATAGACAAAGCTATTCCAAAGTTCAAGCAAGGAATGAATCAATGTCATGAAGATGTCGACTTTCCCCTAATTAACATATAAATTAAATTAAGTTTCAATCAAAATTCCGCTAGGGATCTTTAGAAAATTTTATTAGTGGATTCTAAAATTCTTACTGAAGAGTAAAGAACTGAGAATAGCCAAGATAATTTTTAAAATTAGAATATCTCCTACCAAATATTAAGATTTACTGTAAATCTATAAAAATTAAAACCAGGTAAAGGTGCTCCCTGGAACAGTCTAGGGAACCCAGAAAGAAACCCATGAATACATAATTAGAAGGTATATGGTAAGGGTGACATTTCAGATCAGTGGGAAAAGAATAGCACCTTAATAAAAGGGGCAGATACAATCAGCTACCCTTATCAAAAACAATTAATACCCTACCCTACACCATAGACAAAGGTTAATTTCAGATAGACAGATATGACACCGGGATAATGAAAAATTTCATAAACAGAGTACAAAACTAAGTTTAACTACATTAATATTTTTGAATTCTATAAAACAGAAGCACTTATAATTAAAGACAAGTCAAAGACTGGAAGAAAATATTTGCAAAGCATATAACCACCAAAGAATTTGGATCCAGAATATAAAAGAACTACAAATCAACAAGAAAAGAACTTACAACATATTTAAAATAAGCAGAAGACCTGAACAGAGAAAATCTGAATAGCCAATATTCATATAAGAAGATATTTTAAAATATTCAAACTCACTAGTTATTATAGAATCACAAATTAAGAGCCGGCCCGGTGGTGCACTCGGTAGAGTGCAGTGCTTGGGAGCACGGCAGCGCTCCCACCAAGGGTTCGGATCCCATATAGAGACCGGTCTGCTCCCTGGTTGAGCACGGTACGGGCGCGACACTGAGGGTTGCGATCCTGTTACCGGTCATGAAAAAAGACAAAAAGGAGAAAAAAAAAAAAAAGAATCACAAATTAAATAAATATTAGGAGATATTTAACAACAAACTTGATTGGTCATCATTTTTAAACATATTATCTTGTATTGGCAAAAAGAGGAAATTCTTCTAGATGGGTCTTTAAAAAGTTCATGGAAGGATTCTCATTTTCTTCAAATTCAGTTTTCCCATGAACTTTTAAAAATACCCTTGTATATTGTTGCTATATGAGTATAAGTTAATACAAGTACTTTAGAAAACAATTTGGCAATACTTTAAAGGTGAAAAGATGTCGTAATTGATGATGTATCAATATCACTGCTAAATATCGTAGGGAGACCTAAATACCTGCACAAATAGACATTGTTTAAGAAAATGAAATAGGGAAAACAAAATAAATAACCATCCAAAGAGAGACGGCTGCACCAGGGCTGATCAGCTGGCACCCACAGGTAGGGCCCCGCAGGTTGTTAGGGCTGGTGCACATTCTGATTGGTCAAGGTCAAAGAATCACTGGCTGTTAAATATTCTGAATATCACCTCTGGGATAAACTGTAATTTATTCATTCAATGGAATGTTATTCCATAGTTAAAATAAATGAATGAATTTTACATGTATTCATATGCATGAATCTCAAAAACAAAATGTTGAATGAAAAGCAAAGCTGTTGAAAGATATCATTCATGCTAAACACAACACAAACTACTCTTGTTTAAGAAGGCATAATTATGTAGTAAAAGTATTAAAAATATGGATGAGATCAACATATGCCAAATATGTATCAGCTTCAGGGTGGTGGATATCACTGGTGATGAAGGGAGGAGTGGGATGGAAGAGAGGTACTTAAGGAGCTTTTACTCTCTCGATAATATTTTATTTCCTATGTAAAAAAAGATCTAAAGTAAACATACAAAGTACTGTCATTTATTAAATCTTAGTGGTCAAACTACAGATGCCTATTTAAACTTTTTAAACATGTATGTATGTCTGAAGGATTTTATAATAATTTCTCAATTTGAAGATATCCTGTTATCTAAATATTTAAAGCTTTCACTATATGGAATCAAATCAACTGACTATAATTGTGACTCACATAAAGTAAACAAGCATGAAAATTTAGATTTGTAAAAAAGATCAATTAGAAGGTTATTAATCACATTAAAATGTATTCATTATGTAATTCACAAAATAGAATGTTTTTATGATGCAATCAGAATTATTCAATTTATAATAATGTGAATTGCATTTAACTTTTCTAAAATATTCTGATTTTATAAATCAAAGTACACCTGTGTATCCATCTCTTCTGTACATCTTTTACAGAGATTTCTCTGAGGATAATTTTGGATGCAAATTAAAGTTGCTAGTTTGGAAAGGCATTACTTTTTTCCAAGGGAAGAACGCCTTGTAGAATTGTCAGAAACATTGGGATATTCGTATTTTTCCCCCAAAATTAACGTCATATTTTATTCTTCAAATTAATCTTTTTGCATGTAAGTGATACTGTGAACACCTTGGGAAGAGAACACAGTTTCCTGTTTTTCACACACATTAGCTAGGAAGTAAACTAACAATTTACATACAGAGTAGCACTGATGTCTGTGTACCAGCGTCCGTCAAAGCCTGGGTTATTTCTCCTCTCCTCGCCTTCATTTTCATGTTCTTCTTGGAGTTTCCTCTGAGCCTCTTCTTTGTCTTTGGCTCGTTTGAGGCAGTAGGCTTTTTCCTGCTCCCTGATTTGTTGCTCAATTACTGGGTAGTTCTGCAAGGCCTGAATCCTTTCCGAACGCTCTATTTCTTTACCATCCAACCACTTAAATAAAAAACAAACAGTACAATTATTCAAAAGTAGCAATGTGAACTAGACACAGGTTGATTTTGATTAGAATATTTTAAATGTAGAAATAATAATGTACCATAGTGACAGAGAATTAAAACAAAGTCATTAATGGGAAATATCGGAAACATTGGTCAAAATAAATGATTTTTTTTTGTATTTGTTTTTTTTTTGGCAGCTGGCTAGTGCAGGGATCTGAACCCTTGACCTTGGTGTTATCAACACCTCACTAACCACCACACTCTGAGTGAGCTAAGCCGCCAGTCCTAAACCAATGTTTATGTCATAGAACTAGCACGGTTTACAAGTATCTTTACTGATAATAGTAAGTAAGCCTTCTGTTAAAACTGATAATTAATGATAAGCTCTCAAAATATTTTATATTAATTTTATAAGTGCTCACTATACCAAGAATTTAAACATTTAGGCCAAATCACAGCTCCAAAGTATAACAATGACACCTCCCAAATGCTCTGTACAAAAAAGGGCCTTGAATATTACACGTAACTGAGCTCTAATACAAATGAGCCCATGTTCTACTCCTGACAAGACACACAGAGTACACTATTAATTGTTATAGTCACTGATTACATCTGGTATTTTTTAAAATATTAATATAAAAACACTAACTGAAATGTGAAGTGTCAAAGCGGCCCGTTTAAAGATATCTATTTATTTTCCCAGTCTCATTCTACAAAAAGAGGTGAGGTATTTGAAAGGTGTGGTAGGCAGATAATAGTTCCTCAATAATGTTCATGTTCTAATCTCATGAATGTTACCTTACATGGCAAAAGAGACTTTGCAGAGATGATTAGGTTAAAGATCTTTCATGATCAGGGTGATTCTTATAAGGATCATAGAGGCACTTACAAGTAAAAGAGGAAGGAAGAAGTGTCAGGGTCAGAGTTAAGAAGAGATGTGAAGATTCTACACTGCTGGCTTTGAAGATGGAGAACGGGGCCACTAGCCCAGAAATGCAGGTGCCCTCTAGAAGCTGAAAAGACAAGGAAAGGGATTCTGTCCTAGAGCCTCCAGAAGGAATAGCACCAACACCTTGATTTTAGCCCAGCTAAACCATTTCAGACTTCTGACCTCCAGAACTATAAAATAATAAATTTGTATGGCTTTAAGCCAATAGGTTTGTGTTAACTTGTTACAGCAGCAATAGGAAACTAATACAAAAGGAAAACAACACACATAAAGATTTAGTGAAATATAAATTAAAAAACTAACAGGATCAGTTAAATTAAAAATCAAAATTATAATGTGGAGGTTTGGAAAAAATAATTTCAAATATGTTTTGGTCATAAGAACTCATGGCTGCTTTAGATGTGCTGCATATTTAGTTCTGAGCTCAGCAGCCAAAGCAAAAAGGAAAAACATGATTAATTGCACAATTTTCATGGTCTTTAATGAAAAAATATATGAGTTTCTAGCTTTCCTCTAATACTTAACTCTAAAATACATTTCAAAAGTACAGTTTCATAATGAAGATCTTGAAAGATGTCATACATTGTTTCTGTAGAAATATGTCTGTCCAGTAATAGGCTTCATAAGTCTGTTTCTACTAGCATCCTTCAGTGAAAGATGAGGCCATAATGATAAAATCCAATTCAATAAACCTATTCTTTAAGGTGATAAATAATTGTGGTCTACATACTTAAAATCAACCTAGTTTAACCTAGGATTAGGATCTAATCAATTTGGAAAATTCTGAATGCAATTTATTTATTATATGAATCTATATAAATCTGTAGTAAATACAATATATAAATATCAATATAAGCATATTTATATAAAATATATACACAATGTATTTTATATAGTATTACTTATATAAATATGTTATTAATATGAATATGTTATATATAAATATATATTACTATAACAATTTGGAAAATTCTGGATAAATATAATTTCTTTCAATTGAGATTTTGATAAACATTGGGAAGCATGTGATATTCTCTAACCTGTGTTTGAAGTGCATTTATTTATTTATTTTATTTATATCTGTCTTTATACTTGATTTAAGTAAACGATGATTTAACTAGAGCTACTGTTTGTAAACAACTATGACAAATGAACTCTTTGTCACTTTACAGACAGGAGGCAAAGGCCTCCTAATGAGAACTAATGACAATTTTGAGACTGTGCTCCAGCACCTATTCCAACAACCTCAATATATTTGACGACTTCTGCTAGGCGGTCTTCACAATTGACCCAAATTTCCTGCAAGCCAAAATCACATGTGAGTTTAGAAGGCTGATGAAAAGAGATTACTTTGTAAGTCGAGCTTCACTCAGGATTCTGCAACACAGAGGCAGAGTGTCCACATTTATTGATAATAATTGTGCATGCACTGCAGCAAAGAAGAGAAAGTGAAACTAAGATTACTGAAGGCCTCACAGAACTCCTTCAAGGCAGAAATCGTTACCCCACTGTAAATGAGTAAACTGAGGCATGCAGTTCACAGGTAGAGGAAACATGAGTAAAGCCCTGGTCTGTCTGCTAACAAATCTTCCCTCTGCATCAGTGCCTGCTTACTACAGAGAGCGGCTCAGACGTCAGGAAGAGAATACTGGATAGGGTTGAAGCTCCTCACACCTCCTCTACGTGGCTGTCTAAAAGAAATGACAACTCTGTTAGGATGAGTTAACCACAAAAAAGATGTGGAAGTCCTACTCCCCAGTATCTCAAAATGTGACCTTATTTGGAAATAAGGTCATCACAGATAGAATTTGCTAAGATGAAATCATACTAGAGTCAGGTGGGCCCCAATCCAAAATGGCTGGTGTTGTTATAAAAGAATGCCAGAGACAGTGGCACCACATGAGATGAAGGCAGAGGTCAGGTTGATGCATCTACAGGTCCAAGAATGCCAAAGATTGCCACAAACCACCAGAGGCTAGGAGAGCCATGGAACACGTTCTCCCCACAGCACACAGGAGGAAGCAACCCTTCCGACCTTCCTCCTGAACATCTGGCCTCCAGAACAATGAGCTAATAAGTTGTGTTATTTAAGACACTCAGTTTGTGGTACTTTGTTACAGCAGCCTTGAAAAATTATACATCTATTAACACGATTCCTTTCAAGCAGATCACAAGTTTTCAATGAAATGGTAATTAAGATTCTAAAGTTTATCAACTTATTTTTAAATACTAGCAACACAGTTATGAATACTATTTTCCAAAAAGAGGCTGTGGTCTATGTAGCAGCTGATTTGGATCAGTCTTTCTGAAAGGAAAGACTTAGTCCAAAGCTTGTACATTAACCCAGAGAGAAGCACTGAGTGAGAGTACAGTGTGAATGGTGGTGGCTTCAGGGTTAGATACACATAGGTTCAAACCCCACCTGTGCCACTTGCCAGGTGTGCCAGCTTAACCAAGGCACATCATCAGTTCTTTGAGCCCTGGATCCCTCATCTCTGAATTCACCTAACTATTGCCCAGCAAGGGTGTGGGAGGATCCAAGATACTTGCGTAAAGCACCTGGCACAACACCTGCCCATGCTTCCGGCACCTGTGTGACAGCTCTCGTGCTCTAGCACTGACACAGGCTCAGCTGTGGCAATCACAAGGCCTTCTGGCCTCTGAACCTTTCCAGGGAAGTGGCTCACGGCGTTACACTACAGGACATATTTCTATGATATTCTGGTTCTTAGTTCATTTTCTAGAAAGTCATTGTACAATGATGATCAGTTTGGGATATGTTCAAGAAAATTTATCATTTCTTCCAGATTCAATTACCTTGTCACCCATTTTCTTAATCTAAGAAATTTACATTAGAAGAAACATGTTCCATTAATCCAGCAGTCAGCAATCTTTCGACCACAAGGAACACAGAAGTCTAAGAAATGAATGTCCTCTGAGAACTGAGAAAATGCCTGTTACAAAGCCAATGTACCCACGCGTTCTCTCTGCAGCAGCATGGAGCCACGAGCAGGCTGGAGACTCTTGGGATTTCATGAAAATTAACATTACTGCTTCAATATTCTCAGCTGTATAACTGTATAATTGTATAAATTTATAATTGTACATCATAAGTTTTAAGTATAAATTATATAATTTATCTAGAAATTCTATTTTTTCCTAGGTTCTAAAATTATTAGATTGGGGAGCCCAGTAGTATTGGCATCATCTGAGAGTTTTGTCAGACCTGACCCAGAAAAACTCTGGAGTGGGGCACAGCAATCTGTGTTTTTAAAAGCCCTCCAAGTACACGAAGTTTGAGAACCCCTGCCATAGAGAATGAGTTAAGAAACTGCAATGATAAAAAATAATAATTATAAAGGCACAGTAGTTTAAGACTATGTGATACACAGGTACATAGCTGTTGCTACCTCTAAGACCCTAGTTTCAGTTTGCTACTAGTTATGATGAATTATTATTAGTAATGATGAATGAATGGCCTTTATAATGGTGACTTGAATTCATCAAGAAATAGTTAAATTAAGTTCTGTATGTTTTGAATGAGAAAAGAGAAAAACGTGCAATCTATTTTTCAAAAATTTACGAAAACAATGTTAAAGATATAATAAGTCGAAGAATTAGTTTTGATTCTCTGGAATATTTCATTCTCTGAAGCAACATATTCTCTGAAAATGCTGTGAATAAACCAGGAATTATTAAAGTTGCTCACTTTTCTTTTTCTGTGTGTGTTTTTTTGCATCATTAAAATAAGCATACCTTCAATTGTTCAAGAGTTGCCACCACGAACTGCCTGTAGCCATCAAAGTCAGTGCAGGGGTTCCCCATGAGGAAGAGCTCCTTTAGGTGGATGTTGTGCCTCAGGGATTGAATGCTGCTCAGCTCTCCAATGAAATTTACAGTCAAGTCAAGTTTTGTCAGCCCTTCACATCCTTTTGAGAAAAATAAAAAGAAAACAGCATATAAAACCAAAAGTCACAATGGTGATAAAGTATAATTGCACAGAATGTAGTAATAGTTGCAATATTTCAAATTTGCTGATCAATTGCATTCCTTCCCAAGAAGTGTCTTTTCAGAAATGTCAATGCAAAGGCTTAGTAATAGCTCACTTTTCTATCTGCCTCTTCCTTGATTTCAACCCCTTAATCCCCCCAGCTGGAGGAAATCACTTTCCCTGCTTGCACTTGCAAGGCCTGGGCTGGCTAACATTTGATGCTGGTCACTATCTGGCACGAAAAAAGCCAAGTGTAAGCTGCCATTAGGGTGGGTGCTGCATCAGAACAGAACTTTCACTAGAAAGGGCATCTGGGATCTGTCCTCCTGAGAGTTTTACCAAGTAGTTAGGACACATTTCACCATGGCAGGTGATGGTGGGAAGTTTTCCCAAAAGGAAAGGCATTTCATAAAACCAATGCACCAGAAGCAATATTTGCAAAGTCAGCTAGAAGTAAGAGAATGGCTCCAAGACCACTAAGAACTGAACTGAAGGTATCAGCAAAGGTGAAGAATAAGAGGCTTTGATGCCCAGAGGAATAATAGGAAAAGGGCGAGCCACAGAAGCAGAGGTTTATAGTAAGTCTGACCCATCCACCTTCATTATAGAGATAAACACATGCTATAGAAATTTGAATCGAATTTGAATTTGAATTAACTCCCCTCACTCACATTTCATGGGAACTTGATGGTAAGGAGTCCAGACTTTGGAATTAGACAGATATGAGTTCAAGTCCTACCTCTAGCTCATCCTTGCTAATGTGACCTTGGATAGGTTACAAGCCTCTGCCTCCTCATCTCCTCAGACTCTAATAGTACTGCTGCCCAGTGCAGGAGTTGTGAAGATAACCCAAGATGACTCATGTAAAGTGCTTAGCGTAGTGCCTGCTGCCTAGAGAGCTGCAGTAAATACGAGCTATGATTAGAGCAGCACAATGTACACTCCTCTGATCATCACATGGCTTCTTGGACAATGCACCTATGGAAAAGAAAAAAAGCATGGCTGTCCTATGATCCAGTTTCTTAATGAGTTTTCTTAAGGAGTTTTCAGTTTCTTACTGTGAGATAAGAAAGAGTTGACCTGGTTTATATGGCAGCCTCTGTGGGTTTGGTTCAGTATAAAGCTGTCTCTCCCTGTGACTGACTCATGCTTGTGGGATTTACATGGCAGATTTCACAGCCTTCAATATTTAGAATGCCATCCCCAGCTGACAACCCAGCTCTACCTTACTCTGCACTAATTGCTTCAAGCTTCTACACATCCTGCCCTCCTTACACTTCCTCATTGTGTGCTGCTTTTCTATCATCGTTTTGAAGCTATATAACTTAGAGCAAACTTTGGTTCCTGGGATCTTAGATTAACAGTGCCGACATGAACTTGATTTAGATTTGTTCATAGTTCTGCAACTGTGTCAACTTTGGTAAGGTTTTCCTCATTTCTGAAGGCTATACGATGGAACCAGCTTCATTAAATGAAAGTGTTCTCCCTGGATTTCTTGATTCTAGCACCTGATGCCACCTTGTCCAGAATTCCACATTGTCCCCTTACCTAGTCAGATCCCAAGCCAGTTTCCTCCAAAGAAGTTAGCTCTACCTTAGTGCTTCCAGATGTAGGTCCTCATTCTATATCTGTCCATCCATTCACCCAGCCATCCAGGAGTTGTTGGCTGCCTGCTGTGTACAAGTTACTGAGCTAGGTCTTCAGGATACAGTGATTAAAAAAAAAATCCATGATTCCTGACCTCAAGCTTATGTCTAACATAGAGAAGGGAGAAAAAGATAGGCATTCCGGGAAAAGAAAATTTACTGTGCAAAGGCATCAAGAAGCAAGGCAGGACCCTGAAGTAGACAATATCCATCACACATTATATGCTACCCTAAATCTATATCCATTCGTTCCTCTTTCTCAGTCCCTATTCATAGTTCAACCCATTTCTCCTGACTTCTACCCCAAACATTGTACAAAATTTCCCCCCATGAAGGTAAGCAAGGACCTTCATATTGGCAAGTCTAACAGACCTTCTTCAACCCATTACATCACTACAACGATCTTCTGCATATGGCGTGATTGACCATGGACTCTCTCCTAAAACTCCCAACTGTCTTGGTGACACTGCGACACTGATTCTACTCTCTCCTTCTTGTCCTCACAGTGTAGTCTGTACCACGTGATCTCTTTAATGGACTTCTCCATCCTTCCAATAGTGATGTAACTAAGAGTTCCACCCTCGACCCAATATTCTCTCTTCTTACTGTCTTCTTGATGGTAGCAGTTATGTCATTGGTTTAACTAACCCCAGATTCTGATGACTCCCAAATGATAACTCCATATCTGGCCTTCCAACTGAATATCAGACTCCTATTTCCAAATGCCTGGAAGACATATAACATTCAACATGTTCAAAGCAAAATTCTCCATATTCCCTCTCATTTTCCCATCCACAACAGCTTCTCTGTCCTCTTTATGTCTAAATTCTATTAATGCCATCACCATTTTGGTGTCAGATGTGAATTTGAATTTGACACCAAGGGTCAAGTCATGAACTTGAAAGCTAACCTACATTACTCTTTTAATCTCTTCATGTTATCAGCCAAGCCCTGCAGAACTTAACTCCTAAATTCTTCTCACATATTTCCTGTCTACTATAACCCCATTACCAACACCCCAGTTCATGTTCTTATAACCTTTTGCATGGGACATGGCAATAATATCCTAAACCATCTACCAACTTTGAGAATATAGGAAGTAAGGAAGAAGGCAAGAATAGAAAAAAGTAGGAAAATAAAAGAGGAGCCTGAATCATTCTGATGTACCACAAAGCAAGGAAGTATTCAGAGGATAAGAACATGTCAAAGCACAAGGGCCTACCTGAAAGGACTCCTCTGGCCAAACCAGGACAATTTGATCATCGAACTAAGTAATGGTAGTAATATAGCCCATTGAATAAAACAAGAATCCATGAGTCCATACTGATATAAGGAATAATGAATAAATAAATAAGTGGGGCAGAAGACAATGTTCTTCCTTAAAGTAGAATGTAATAAATATAGAAAGGATGATGGAATTAGAAAGTTGTTAACAAATGTTAAACTAGTGCATAAAAGTATGATGAGGAACAGGATATTTATATAATGTCAAGGAATCCCCCAACAAATTACTTATTAATTAAGAAGTGAAATATAGAAACTTTACAGTAAAGAAACCTGGTAGACACTGCCTTTCCTTTGATTCCTTCTGTGACAAGCAGACACTCTCTAACACACATTACCCGGTTTTAATTCTCTGTACAGCATTTGTCATAGCTGATTGTTCTAGTGTTTATGACTTGTCTTACCCTATTTGAATTTAAGCTTCTTGGACCGGGAAACTGTCTTTTTCATTACTTTATTTATCATGAACAAAAAGACTCCTTGGCATAAGATAGGAGGTCACTAGATGCCTGCAGAAGAAAGAAACAGATGGACGGTGAAAGAGAGGGAGGGAGAAAAGAAAAATAAGAGAAGACAAAGAAACGGGATAAATTGGTACTTGGAGTAGATCACTCATCAGGGAGGTTAGTGGCTCAGGTGAAAACTAAAGATAGCACAACTTCAAAGATAATCAGGCAATTGAAGAAAAAGGAATTGACAAAGGCTGAGCCGAGGTCAAATTCCTTCAGACCACCAGGTGATCACTATTAAGGCTGGATATTAAATTACAGCAAACACAACTACATGATATAAAATGAATTGGCACATGTAGAAAGAGAAGAAAAACCCACATGCTCAGTTTTAAAAAATGGTTAAGCAAACTCTACCATATATATTCAATGTGCTCTTATAAGAATATTAAAAATGATGACTATGAAAACTATTATCACAGCATAGGGGAAAATGTATAATATAATGAAAGAAGAAAAAGTAAGATAGAACATTGCCCATACACTATAATTATAGCAATGTAAAATAAAAATAGGAAAAATAAATATAACAAAATAATAGCAGTAATGGTAGAATTAAGAGTAAATTTTACTCTATTTTTCAAAATTTTGCAACATGATTATGTTTGAGATTTTTGAAATATACACAAAAAAAGAATATACATAAAATATATAGAAAACTAAGACATAAGCTAGTACAGTTTTCTCAAATGTCACAAAAATGCTTTCTAGGCATATAATATGCTTATTAACTATATGGCTGATATCTATTCAGTGCTTACTCTGTATTAAGCAGTATATATACTATCTTACTTAATCCTAACACCAGGCCTATAAAAGAGATGTTATAATTATTATCCCTATTTTAAGGCCGGGTAGCTAAGTGTGGGCACTTGGCTCCGAGACGGGCACCATTATGTGCACCCCCACCATTCCTTATGAGAGATGGCATCTATTCCTTCTCCTCTCTCCCCATAGCTGGGCTGGCCCTAGTGACTTGCCTAACCAATAGACAGTGGTGGCAAAGAGATATCTGGGAATTCTGAAGCTGGGTCAGTAGCAGCCTGTGGGTTCTACCTAGATGTCTTGGCATGCTTGCGCTGGGAGCTTGCTCTTTGAACAATTACTCTGGGATGTGTCAGAAGCCATGTAAAGTGTCTGGCTACTTTGAGTCATTATGCTGTGAGAGCCTGAGCCACCTGGGAAAACTTCAAAGGCAGCATGAGAGAGCAAAGTCTGCATCTGTGGCAACAGGCTAAGAAGCAGCACCAGGCAGATAACTAAAGAAGCCATCTTGGAAGTGGATCCTCTAGCAACAGCTGCTCCATCTGATGCCATGGACCAGAGGGGAACCACCCAGACAAGCTCCTCCTGAATTCCTTACCCACAAAATCAAGCATGTGGGGTGAGAGGACTTGCTTTAAGAACTAAGCTTTGAGATAGTTCCCCACCCTCTCCCCCCACCCTACTGCAATTGATATTAGAGCTGTAAAGCAAATGAGCTAAGAAATCACCAAAGT